AGTCCTTCTCTACAAATATCTACAAATAATGTTTTTATGCTATTCCCTGATTTTAATTTTCTCATGTTTTAACTAGGAGTTACTTGCTGATTTTGCCCCCTCGTTTCTCAGGTTTTTAATTGATTTTAAAGTTTCAGCATTAGCTGTAAGCTTTTCATCCAAATTTGATTTTAAAGTTTTTGTTTTCTCTCTCTTCCTCACCCTCTCTCAATGCTACCATTCTTATTTTTATCAGGTCACCATTAATCCCCCCTATCTTCATTCCTCTCATTTTCCAGTGTATTTAATCTGTGCTTATCTTAAAATTTGATGGAATGACTTAATCTATTAATTTGTTTTTCTAGAAGTGCTATTTCCGCTATTATGTATGGAATGGAAAGCAAGCTTTACTATGCGCAATATGACTTTCATAATTACATGTATATTCTTTCCGAATTACGGCCTATGCTTTTAAATCTCAGTTTAAAGAACCTGGACAAACAATCATGGTTTAATGCGTTCACTGCTCAGGTGTATTGTTCACATAGCTTGATGCACATGCTGATAATTCTAATTTAATATCTTTGCCTTTTAACTTTTGGGGTGGGGGTGGTTCACTTTTTCTTGTCTTCTGATGATAACATTTGTGGCTTCTAATGCATTAGTGGTTTCGTTTATTACATATATTCATTCATTGAAAGTCCGCAAGTGTCTAGTAAAGAGTGGGGGTAATATTGAAAGCTGGTCAAAATCATAGGGGTAGTTTTGCAACAGTGCATGAAACGAATCTTATTTTATTCATTGACTGTAGGATATCAGTTGGAAGTTCAGATGCTAATGTTATGGGTACCTGCCTTATGTGTCAATGTTCGTTTGATGATTACACTTCTCGCTGCCGGTGTACTTATTGCAGAATGCTTGTTTTGGTGTGCCGTAGTTGCGAGGTATGATCTGATAATTTGTATTATTTATGCCTACATTTTTTTGTTTGCAGTTTTTGTGAATTTAACCATCTTGAAGGAGTTAGGGAGGAGAAAAAGTAAAAGAAAAGAAAAGGAAGTATTTAATATCTCCTGATATTATATACTGAATCTAGCAGTCTCAATCGTGCTGGTGTTTGCCTGTTTCTAGAGAACTTAGAATTGTTATATATGTTAGTTTGTGAAGTGTCCATGAAGTTCTAAATAAGATATTGGTTCTGATTATTTGTGTACTAATAGAGCTTAACATTAGAGTTGCTTTTGGGCTGGTTTACCTGTAACTGGTTCTGGGTGATACAGATAATGTGACTTGATGTTGGTCAAGAGTTTAACTTTGTTACTGGTAAAAAGGTTGGATATTTCCCAAATTAGGTTCAAGTTTTAATTGATTTTGTATGGCTCCAGCCCGGCTATTGCTGTGGTCATTGGGCCTCAAAATTCAGCTTCAAGCGTGCTTGCACTTGAATAACATTTGTCCTTATGCCATGTGTCCTATATCTTTGATTAACTACTTTTCTTAATTGGTACTCCAGAAAATTTATTCCTTCTCCACCATCTTTAATTGCTTGAGTCTAATATTTTTTCTATTTCATTGCTGGGTTCTTGGTTTTTTTTCTTGCTTCTGATATAGTTGTGTTCCACCAGAGTGAATCTACCGTGTATGTTTGTGAGCTATGTCAGAAACAGGGCAAGGCCGAGTCAGCACAGCTAATTGAAATTGGAGAATCAAAAACATCATTGTCGGGTGCCGAGTTCAACAACTTTTGTTCAGATTTGCCTCGAGTGCCCAGGGGAGATGGTAAGGTCTGTGATCCATATTGCTCGACAAATCTTTACGTTCACATGCGTTCCATAAAGTTTGTAGTTAACCGGTTAATTTTACAATTGTCACTATAATGACTACTGAAAAATTCAAGTTTCTTTTTTTAAAATTTGCAACTCAGGCAATTTAAAAGCCCTTTGTAATTTACTACAAGTGTGCAATTCCTAACATCCTAATGATTAATGTTCAGATCCAAGGACCTCAAGAAAACTGAGAATCTTGTGCTTACATGGGTTTCGGCAGAATGCATCCAGTTTCAAAGGCAGAACAGCATCACTAGCCAAGAAACTAAAGAAAATCACTGAATTTGTTTTTGTTGATGCTCCCCATGAATTGCCATTCATTTACCAAACCCCCATGTTTGAGTCAAATGAAAATTGTGCATCATCATCATTGCCATCTAGTCCTCCACCACCATTGGCGAATTGCAAGAAGAAGTTTGCATGGTTTGTGGCACCCAACTTTGATGGAAGCAGTGGTGTTGACTGGAAGGTAGCAAATGGCCCATTTGATCCACTTCAATACCAGCAGCAAACTGCTGGATATGATGTTTCACTATCACACTTAAAGAATATCTTTTCCCGGGAAGGACCATTTGATGGAATCTTGGGATTTTCACAGGGAGCAGCAATGGCTGCCTTAATCTCAGCACTACAAGAAGAGCTGAAAGGTGAAATGGACTTCAAATTTGTAGTCTTGTGCTCTGGCTTTGCTCTCCGGATGAAAGCCATGGAGTGTGGCCCTATCAAGTGCCCTTCTCTTCATATTTTTGGTAATGAACATGGTAAAGACAGACAGATAGCTAACCAAACAAGCAAGGAACTTGCTTCTCTATATGACGGTGATTGTTCTGCGATAGTTGAGCATGATAATGGTCATATAATTCCTACTCGGTCCCCATGTATTGATGAGATCAAGGATTTTCTTAATGGCTTTCTGTAGGAGTTCAAACAAAAATGATCTCAAGTTTTTGATACCATTCAAATTTACGTCGTTGTTTGATATCTTGTCTTTCTATGTACGGCCACAAAAATTTGTACAATGCTCTATTACTATGCGATTGCCTCAATTGAACTAGCAAAATTAGACACGTCTTTTCGTTATATTTCGTGATTATGTGAAAAGAAAATGTTAGGCCATCTCGAAAACATGCAATAGCAATGGTTTTTCATCAATGAAAGGAAGAGGAAGTTTTGTTGATTTTTCCAATAATGATCTTAACATATTTCATTTGAAGTATTTAGTATTTAAATTTTGGTAGGTTACTGCGGGGTTGACTGAGGGAAAGGTTCCTGGTCCTAGCCTTGTTTTAGTATGATGGATGAGTGCAGTACTGCATGTGCACTGACTGTTGCTTCAATTAGAGTTGAAGCTTTAATTTTGTAATTAGAATTCACCTGTTGTAAGTATGTTTATTGGACAAATCATTGAAACCATTTCGTTTTCATTATGCTTTTGGTCACCTATTATTTTCTTTGAAGAAACTATAATCAAAATTTTTAAATAACAATGAACTCAGTAATACTAAATCGTTTATTGGTGTTGTTTTTTTATCAAATAAATATAAATAATTATATTAAATATTTCCCAGCATATATTTTTGAATTATAAAAGACTGTATAAATGTTATTCGAAAGAGAGGGCATTCCAACGTTTTACAGCACAATTAATTTATAGAGGGAAAATAAATTGAACATAATAATGATAATGATATATAATATAATAATAACAATAGTAAAACGATTGGGCGAGACAAATGAAGTGACAGTACAAACTTGTGAGGATTAACTCACTCTAAAACCCTTTAAACCTCTGCACTGTAGTGAATTGTTGAACACAAAGAAGATGCAGCGCGTCGTAAGAAAACTAACCAGCATAATTTCACACAGACAAGTATGTCTTCTTTCATAGCTTTCTTCAACCTCGTACTTCGTATTCATAGCTTCTCAAACTGTTTGTCTGATTAGTATGTTTTAATAAATGATTTTCTGATGCTACTGTGGTTTCGAACGTGGGAATTTTGTTTTGTTTCTTCAAATTCTGTTACCCATTTTATCAAATGCTTGTAACTCTTGCTTTTCTGTTGGTCAATTCAATCTTCTCGCACGGCAAATACTTTAACAATTCATACTCTCGGCCTTTAACCGGTTCTTCTCACCGGAAGCTATGCATGATTGATGATCTCATTTTTCTATTTTCTTTATTCTTATTTGTAAGGGTAAATCTAGGGATTATTCAAATAATTCATTTTGGTTACTCTGACTACTTGGCATTTGCAAATTTCGCTCGCAGGTTGTAGGTTTTCGTGCCTATTGCACTGGCGGGGTTGTTTTTGATGTTGGACAGCCAACCTCCGCATCACATCCCCAGGTTTATTGTATTTCTATTTGTGTTTTTTAGAAGTTCAATAACAGAAGTAAAAGAATATTGTGATATAAACATTTCAAGTGTCTATTGTGTGTTTGCCACATGCAAGCCAACTATTTTGAAGTAGGGCTTCCTTGCTGGGCACTATCGTCTTGCTGGGCACTATCGTCTTGCTGGGCACTATCGTCTTGCTGGGCACTATCGTCTTGCTGGGCACTATCGTGTAGAGCATTTAGCTAAAATGCTTGTTTGTTAAGACTACTTAGCATTTTTTTATGTTATGTTACATTGTAGCTACTAAAAGATGGGGAGCTCACACCGGGCATATCTACTGAGGAATACATCCTAAGAAGAAAAAAGTTGTTGGAACTTCTCCCAGAGAAGAGTTTGGCAATCATCGCTGCTGCCCCAGTAAAGATGATGACAGATGTTGTGCCTTATACATTTCGACAAGATGCTGATTACTTGTATATCACAGGCTGCCAACAGCCTGGTGGTGTGGCCATTTTGGGACACGACTGTGGTTTATGCATGTTCATGCCAGAAGCTAAGCCTTATGTGTGTCTGACATTATATCTTCTTGAAAATAGAACTATGTTTTGCAATAGGAATACAATGCCAGTGTAAAAAGATGTAATTAATTGACATAAATTGGTTATGGGTTTAATCTTCATGCATTTTCAATGATATGATTTTTACACAGTTAACCAATTAGAAATCTGTGACTTGTAAAGAAGTTATTACAAAGTTCAACTATTTTATCTTATATAACAATCTGTGATTAGATGACTGTGTAAATTTCTTTTAGACTGTCAGTTTATTTAAATTTAATTCAGTTATTTACTTACATATAAAAGCATTCTTTTATATAAATATCTTATTATCTATATAAATCTATGATTTCAATTGTTTTTTCATGTTAGATTAACCATATGTCAATTTGGTCATTATGTGTGTGATTTTTGTTCTGACTTCTATGGAGTTTTGTTATAGAGAATTACCTAATCTCAAGTGAACGTTTTAAAAACTACAAATGTGTGTAGGATGTTATTTGGCAAGGGCAGATAGCAGGAGTTGATGCAGCAGTAGATACATTCAAGGCTGATAAGGCATATCCAATGAGAAAATTGCATGAGGTGAATTACTGGTATCAACCATCAAAAGCTTTTACTTCCATAGAAATTATATAGCAAACAATTTTGTTCTTACGACTGAAATATTTCCATTGGTAAGCTTGCTGGAAGCTTGAAGCCAATGTTATGACATCTTTCAATTCTAAAAAGTGCATTGTCATCTCCTGGGTTAAACTGTTACAACTGTTATTTATAATGATTTTTATTTAACATTTTTTACTACTGATTCAGATCCTTCCCGATATGATAAAGGGATCATCAAAAGTGTTCCACAATGTCCAGACTGCAACTCCATCATATATGGAAATGGAAGCATTCAAAAAACTAGCTTACTGTAACAATGTAATGGATCTAGCTGTTTACACCCATCAACTGCGATGGATAAAGTCACCAGCAGAGCTTAAGCTGATGAAGGAATCTGCATCCATCGCTTGTCAGGTACTTTCATCTCTAGTGCTACGGTAACTATTTGTTAACTAAATATTCCAAACTCCTATTGAGGCTGTTGAATGCACATTTGGTAATACCATTAGTAGGTCCTACATGTAGAATGATATCCATGTGATCTTTGAACAGGCTCTTTTGTTGACAATGCTACATTCAAAGACATACCCTTTTGAAGGTACACTTGCAGCAAAGGTTGAATATGAATGCAAAATTAGAGGTGCCCAGCGGATGGGGTGAGGAGTTTTTTATGTCTGAATACTTCATCTATTGCTGTTGATAATATAAGAAGCTTCCACAAAAGAATAAAAGTAAAGAAGTTCATTAATAGAAAAGAAATTCAAGTTTAAGGATCATTTCATCCATAACTAATGATATAACCTTTTTTTTCCTCTGTATCAGATTCAATCCTGTGGTTGGTGGTGGACCTAATGGAAGCATTATACATTATTCTAGGAATGATCAGAGAGTAAATTCATTTAATAAATGCCATCTCCTAGTAACTTTAGTTTCGTGTTTCTAATCTTTACTTGTTTGGCAGATTAAACAAGGGGATCTTGTTTTGATGGATATTGGATGTGAGTTACATGGCTATGCCAGTGATCTTACCAGGACATGGCCACCTTGTGGTAGCTTTTCTTCTGCCCAGGTTAGCATGATTGATGTCCGTTTAGCAATTCAATCTACTAATTGCAGGAGAGCTTAATAAGGAAGAGTTTATTTTCATTTCAGCACATACAATAAGCTTATGTCTATATCACTTTCTTATTTTTTCTCACATTTGATATCCAATTAATCGATCAATTAATAGCAATCTAGGACAAACAGACTTCAAGTTCTCAACTTCCTGTTGCATACTTTATTGCATGATGGCTGTATACTTATAGGTATTCTTGTTTGTAGACATATAACTCTTCTCATACATAATGCACTTGTTTTTTATCAAGTTTCTATGATGTTAAAATAACTTCCCTTTTGTTTCTTGTAATGAGCTTTTTTGGCCATCATCTTGTGCTTGCTAAGTTTTCTACTCAAGGCCGAGATTCTGCAACATTAACTTCACGACATGAAATATTATGGCTTTTTTACTTCAAGAAAATGTTATTTAAATCATTAAAATTGTTACTTTGTTTTGAACTTCATGTTTGTTTTCTGTAGTCAAAGATTTGTAAAGGAAATAATGAAAATAATTTTGTTTGTTGTGAAAGATCTGTAAAGGAAACATTCTTTTTCACTGTTTCCTATACAAACCCTTAAAATGGAAAATATAACGAAAATAATATCATACGTAATTAAAAGTTAAAACAGAAAACATTTTCTCAAACCAACACAACTTATTTTTCTTGCAATTTTTTGGAGGGAAGGGAGTTATTTATGAGATTGCCTTCTCAACAAATAATGGTAAGTGTTGGTGGTTATGATATTTGAATTTGCTTAAGCCTATAGTTATACTCTATACTTCCAGATTAAGGGAAGAAGCGTTGCAGATTATAGTTACGCAAATGGCCTCATGGTGAAGGGTAAATACTTTAAAAGTACAAAAAGTTTACCGCTAGTTGTTGGTGCTCCATGACATGAAACAGAAGATGAGATATTGATCAGTTATTATAGCCAAAATAGACATTTTTGTACATAGAAATATAGTTAATTGGGGAGAGGTACTTTGAATAATTTATGCATATCTGGTCATTCAATTAGGGATAGATTTGCCCTCTCCTCTTGCTTTTCTTCAAGGGATCTAATGGGCCTAAACCGTTGGGGACATAATTATGTAATACAAGTCGGATCTTTCTTTGCTTTTGGTATACTATGACATAAAAATGTTTGAAGCTTAGTTTTTTGTTGGAAATAACGGTTTATTATGATAAAATATGTTTAGGATTTCAATATTGTTTCGAATAAAATATGTTTAGAATCTTCAAATTTATTTCAATATATTGTTTCTTTATTTAAGAGATATTGATTGTTATAAATAGATTAGCTGAGAATATAATTGGTGGGATTGTTATCAAAAAAATTATTTTCTTGTTCATGCAAGTTAGAATCAGAGCTCTTGATATTGGAAGCTCTATTTTTTCTGCTTCGCAAACAATGAGACAAGGATGCACTGTTGCTTGTGCCACCCCCACTGTTGTGGGGCCAGTGGTGGGTTAGAACAGTGTGGTTCACGTCAGCAACTACTATGTTGACAATTGCATCGATTGTGGAGCTGTCATAAGACATGATAGAGTATCTTGTTCCAGTGCAAAAGCTAAATTTTGAACCCTTGTGCAAGAAATGTNCTTGTTTTAGTATGATGGATGAGTGCAGTACTGCATGTGCACTGACTGTTGCTTCAATTAGAGTTGAAGCTTTAATTTTGTAATTAGAATTCACCTGTTGTAAGTATGTTTATTGGACAAATCATTGAAACCATTTCGTTTTCATTATGCTTTTGGTCACCTATTATTTTCTTTGAAGAAACTATAATCAAAATTTTTAAATAACAATGAACTCAGTAATACTAAATCGTTTATTGGTGTTGTTTTTTTATCAAATAAATATAAATATTTATATTAAATATTTCCCAGCATATATTTTTGAATTATAAAAGACTGTATAAATGTTATTCGAAAGAGAGGGCATTCCAACGTTTTACAGCACAATTAATTTATAGAGGGAAAATAAATTGAACATAATAATGATAATGATATATAATATAATAATAACAATAGTAAAACGATTGGGCGAGACAAATGAAGTGACAGTACAAACTTGTGAGGATTAACTCACTCTAAAACCCTTTAAACCTCTGCACTGTAGTGCATTGTTGAACACAAAGAAGATGCAGCGCGTCGTAAGAAAACTAACCAGCATAATTTCACACAGACAAGTATGTCTTCTTTCATAGCTTTCTTCAACCTCGTACTTCGTATTCATAGCTTCTCAAACTGTTTGTCTGATTAGTATGTTTTAATAAATGATTTTCTGATGCTACTGTGGTTTCGAACGTGGGAATTTTGTTTTGTTTCTTCAAATTCTGTTACCCATTTTATCAAATGCTTGTAACTCTTGCTTTTCTGTTGGTCAATTCAATCTTCTCGCACGGCAAATACTTTAACAATTCATACTCTCGGCCTTTAACCGGTTCTTCTCACCGGAAGCTATGCATGATTGATGATCTCATTTTTCTATTTTCTTTATTCTTATTTGTAAGGGTAAATCTAGGGATTATTCAAATAATTCATTTTGGTTACTCTGACTACTTGGCATTTGCAAATTTCGCTCGCAGGTTGTAGGTTTTCGTGCCTATTGCACTGGCGGGGTTGTTTTTGATGTTGGACAGCCAACCTCCGCATCTCATCCCCAGGTTTATTGTATTTCTATTTGTGTTTTTTAGAAGTTCAATAACAGAAGTAAAAGAATATTGTGATATAAACATTTCAAGTGTCTATTGTGTGTTTGCCACATGCAAGCCAACTATTTTGAAGTAGGGCTTCCTTGCTGGGCACTATCGTCTTGCTGGGCACTATCGTCTTGCTGGGCACTATCGTCTTGCTGGGCACTATCGTCTTGCTGGGCACTATCGTGTAGAGCATTTAGCTAAAATGCTTGTTTGTTAAGACTACTTAGCATTTTTTTATGTTATGTTACATTGTAGCTACTAAAAGATGGGGAGCTCACACCGGGCATATCTACTGAGGAATACATCCTAAGAAGAAAAAAGTTGTTGGAACTTCTCCCAGAGAAGAGTTTGGCAATCATCGCTGCTGCCCCAGTAAAGATGATGACAGATGTTGTGCCTTATACATTTCGACAAGATGCTGATTACTTGTATATCACAGGCTGCCAACAGCCTGGTGGTGTGGCCATTTTGGGACACGACTGTGGTTTATGCATGTTCATGCCAGAAGCTAAGCCTTATGTGTGTCTGACATTATATCTTCTTGAAAATAGAACTATGTTTTGCAATAGGAATACAATGCCAGTGTAAAAAGATGTAATTAATTGACATAAATTGGTTATGGGTTTAATCTTCATGCATTTTCAATGAAATGATTTTTACACAGTTAACCAATTAGAAATCTGTGACTTGTAAAGAAGTTATTACAAAGTTCAACTATTTTATCTTATATAACAATCTGTGATTAGATGACTGTGTAAATTTCTTTTAGACTGTCAGTTTATTTAAATTTAATTCAGTTATTTACTTACATATAAAAGCATTCTTTTATATAAATATCTTATTATCAATATAAATCTATGATTTCAATTGTTTTTTCATGTTAGATTAACCATATGTCAATTTGGTCATTATGTGTGTGATTTTTGTTCTGACTTCTATGGAGTTTTGTTATAGAGAATTACCTAATCTCAAGTGAACGTTTTAAAAACTACAAATGTGTGTAGGATGTTATTTGGCAAGGGCAGATAGCAGGAGTTGATGCAGCAGTAGATACATTCAAGGCTGATAAGGCATATCCAATGAGAAAATTGCATGAGGTGAATTACTGGTATCAACCATCAAAAGCTTTTACTTCCATAGAAATTATATAGCAAACAATTTTGTTCTTACGACTGAAATATTTCCATTGGTAAGCTTGCTGGAAGCTTGAAGCCAATGTTATGACATCTTTCAATTCTAAAAAGTGCATTGTCATCTCCTGGGTTAAACTGTTACAACTGTTATTTATAATGATTTTTATTTAACATTTTTTACTACTGATTCAGATCCTTCCCGATATGATAAAGGGATCATCAAAAGTGTTCCACAATGTCCAGACTGCAACTCCATCATATATGGAAATGGAAGCATTCAAAAAACTAGCTTACTGTAACAATGTAATGGATCTAGCTGTTTACACCCATCAACTGCGATGGATAAAGTCACCAGCAGAGCTTAAGCTGATGAAGGAATCTGCATCCATCGCTTGTCAGGTACTTTCATCTCTAGTGCTACGGTAACTATTTGTTAACTAAATATTCCAAACTCCTATTGAGGCTGTTGAATGCACATTTGGTAATACCATTAGTAGGTCCTACATGTAGAATGATATCCATGTGATCTTTGAACAGGCTCTTTTGTTGACAATGCTACATTCAAAGACATACCCTTTTGAAGGTACACTTGCAGCAAAGGTTGAATATGAATGCAAAATTAGAGGTGCCCAGCGGATGGGGTGAGGAGTTTTTTATGTCTGAATACTTCATCTATTGCTGTTGATAATATAAGAAGCTTCCACAAAAGAATAAAAGTAAAGAAGTTCATTAATAGAAAAGAAATTCAAGTTTAAGGATCATTTCATCCATAACTAATGATATAACCTTTTTTTTCCTCTGTATCAGATTCAATCCTGTGGTTGGTGGTGGACCTAATGGAAGCATTATACATTATTCTAGGAATGATCAGAGAGTAAATTCATTTAATAAATGCCATCTCCTAGTAACTTTAGTTTCGTGTTTCTAATCTTTACTTGTTTGGCAGATTAAACAAGGGGATCTTGTTTTGATGGATATTGGATGTGAGTTACATGGCTATGCCAGTGATCTTACCAGGACATGGCCACCTTGTGGTAGCTTTTCTTCTGCCCAGGTTAGCATGATTGATGTCCGTTTAGCAATTCAATCTACTAATTGCAGGAGAGCTTAATAAGGAAGAGTTTATTTTCATTTCAGCACATACAATAAGCTTATGTCTATATCACTTTCTTATTTTTTCTCACATTTGATATCCAATTAATCGATCAATTAATAGCAATCTAGGACAAACAGACTTCAAGTTCTCAACTTCCTGTTGCATACTTTATTGCATGATGGCTGTATACTTATAGGTATTCTTGTTTGTAGACATATAACTCTTCTCATACATAATGCACTTGTTTTTTATCAAGTTTCTATGATGTTAAAATAACTTCCCTTTTGTTTCTTGTAATGAGCTTTTTTGGCCATCATCTTGTGCTTGCTAAGTTTTCTACTCAAGGCCGAGATTCTGCAACATTAACTTCACGACATGAAATATTATGGCTTTTTTACTTCAAGAAAATGTTATTTAAATCATTAAAATTGTTACTTTGTTTTGAACTTCATGTTTGTTTTCTATAGTCAAAGATTTGTAAAGGAAATAATGAAAATAATTTTGTTTGTTGTGAAAGATCTGTAAAGGAAACATTCTTTTTCACTGTTTCCTATACAAACCCTTAAAATGGAAAATATAACGAAAATAATATCATACGTAATTAAAAGTTAAAACAGAAAACATTTTCTCAAACCAACACAACTTATTTTTCTTGCAATTTTTTGGAGGGAAGGGAGTTATTTATGAGATTGCCTTCTCAACAAATAATGGTAAGTATTGGTGGTTATGATATTTGAATTTGCTTAAGCCTATAGTTATACTCTATACTTCCAGATTAAGGGAAGAAGCGTTGCAGATTATAGTTACGCAAATGGCCTCATGGTGAAGGGTAAATACTTTAAAAGTACAAAAAGTTTACCGCTAGTTGTTGGTGCTCCATGACATGAAACAGAAGATGAGATATTGATCAGTTATTATAGCCAAAATAGACATTTTTGTACATAGAAATATAGTTAATTGGGGAGAGGTACTTTGAATAATTTATACATATCTGGTCATTCAATTAGGGATAGATTTGCCCTCTCCTCTTGCTTTTCTTCAAGGGATCTAATGGGCCTAAACCGTTGGGGACATAATTATGTAATACAAGTCAGATCTTTCTTTGCTTTTGGTATACTATGACATAAAAATGTTTGAAGCTTAGTTTTTTGTTGGAAATAACGGTTTATTATGATAAAATATGTTTAGGATTTCAATATTGTTTCGAATAAAATATGTTTAGAATCTTCAAATTTATTTCAATATATTGTTTCTTTATTTAAGAGATATTGATTGTTATAAATAGATTAGCTGAGAATATAATTGGTGGGATTGTTATCAAAAAAATTATTTTCTTGTTCATGCAAGTTAGAATCAGAGCTCTTGATATTGGAAGCTCTATTTTTTCTGCTTCGCAAACAATGAGACAAGGATGCACTGTTGCTTGTGCCACCCCCACTGTTGTGGGGCCAGTGGTGGGTTAGAACAGTGTGGTTCACGTCAGCAACTACTATGTTGACAATTGCATCGATTGTGGAGCTGTCATAAGACATGATAGAGTATCTTGTTCCAGTGCAAAAGCTAAATTTTGAACCCATGTGCAAGAAATGTGTAAAGGGCTCTAGTTGAGAATAATTCTTGATGACCATAAAATCAAGGTGGACATTCCTATACAGCTCTGTCGTGACAAGTCAACCATGAGCATTGCCAATAATCTAGTACGTGACCAGGCAAAACATTGAAAATGACAATCACTTCATCAAAGATAATCTAGATAGAGTGTGAGGTTACGACCCATGTCCCTATAAGACTTAAGCTTAGGACAGTGGATATTTTCACTAAAGGGCTTCCTTAGGAAGGATTTCAGGATCTTGTAGGTAAGTTGAGAATGATTGATATTTATTGACTAACTTGAGGGAAACTATTGTAAATAATGGTTTATGAAGATAACATTATGTTTAGAATCTCCATATTGATTAAGATAAAATATCCTTAACATCTTTCTATATTTTGGAGAGATTGTTACAATAGAGGACCTCATAATGTATTTGGTATGGTCATCAATAAAATTATTTTCTTGTTTCCATGTGTAGTTCGAGTGTTTTGCTCCTTATCCATGCCTTGTGAAATCTAGACAAAATGAAACTCTTGATCTCCATATTACTTTGTTCTTTTAATGTCAAAATCAACTTATTGCTTTGCTCTTTTATTCTTGCCACTTTTCATATGAATATCATGGTTTCTTCTATATTTCAGGAGGAGCTTTATCAGCTTATACTGGAAACAAATAAGCATTGTGTGGAACTTTGTAAGCCTGGTGCCAGTATTAGGCAAATACACAACCATTCGGTATCCCTTTTTTCTTATCCCCTTTCAATTTTCGAAAGATGTAATAAGGTCACTATCACTCTAAACCAACCTAATAGCTTAAGTTTTTAGGAGATATAACTAAGTTGCCAATAGTTTAATTCTTGCTGCCCTCATGCTTCTGAATAAAATTTGAATTCCATTGCAAGTTTGGGTGGGCCTGTGATATTCCTTCCTTTCAACAAGAGGGATTGTGTCGTATAAATAACAATGCCGTTTTGGAGCCTTTACCTAATAAAATATTTATGGAGAGTTGGTGATTGACAGAAATTTTAGTCAGTTGTGTTTGTTACTCTTCTCTTTTCCAGTTCATGATAGGATTTAGAGGGAAGAGTATCCTTAGTTATTCTAATCTTAAAACTTTCTTGATGATCTGATTAGGATTATGCAGTACTTTCTCAAGTAATTGTTCAAAAGATTCAAAAGTATGAACTTATTTAGATTCAAGATATATTTAACCACGTGTAGAATGTTATGTAATTAAATAAAATAATTTGTTTTATATTTGTTTTTGGTGAACAAGAAACAACATTTTGTCTTAGCTAGTAACAGCATGGAATTGCTTATTCGGATTAAACAAAATCCAGCCTTGTCCATTAATGGAAAAATTATTTTGTCTTAGCTAGTAACAACCTATAACAACATAGATATATTTGGTAATAATATAGGATGTCCATCTGCATTTATTTACTTTTTAAATTGAACAACCTATGCAATAGCTTCTGTTCCAGCACAAACAAATACTAGAAGTCTAGAATTTGGTTTGCCTCAAAAGTTGGATGTTGCTGGCTTATTTTATGTGGGTAGTAAAGCATGGGATTCTCCAAATATCCCTTTCTATGTGAAGCTCATCAGTAAATCTTATTAGAACTGTCATTTGATTAATTCTTATTTTATTCTATGATCAGTTTGGGAGATACCAAAGACAGAGCATAGGGAATTTAATTATCTCTGGTTTCTGTTGTTGGCTTGTTGAAACTGTCCTATAATTCAGCTGTATTCTGGTTCAAGATTTCAAGTGGATCTGAACTTATGTTGACTTAGTTAATCATCAAATATTTTCTTTTAAGTGTTCATTTTGCATTAACACCCAATTCACCACCAAAAAAATTTTCAATATTTGCTTTGCGCTTGACGAACATCATCTTATAACCAGTAACAGTAATTAGTGTGTGCTAGTGGCCTGAGTATCTTCTTCACAAACCCATCGTTATTTTTTGATTGTCATCTTACTTTTAAAATTTTCACTTTTGAATGTTTTATTATTGTTCATTTCAATTAGCTGAAGTTATACAAAGTGTAATCTGAAATGATCTGGTTACATAGGTTGAAATGCTGCAAAAAGGACTCAAAGAGCTTGGGATTTTGAGAGGTGTTGGAAGCAGTTCCTACCATAAGCTTAACCCAACTTCTATAGGTAGCTATGTGCTCATATCTGCTTGCTGACAAAGTGTGCAATATGTAGTTATGAGAAAAATAATTGTCATGTATATTCGTACGACTGCTGATATATATCTAATCACACTTTATTGGTCCATCCAGGTCACTATCTAGGGATGGACATCCATGATTGTTCAATGGTCAGCTTTGACGGTCCTCTGAAGCCAGGTGTTGTAAGTAGTTTCCCTGACAAAGCAAATTTTTTCCATCTCCACTAACCACTGACAGATAATATTTAATAATCACTTGTCACACGTGGTTAATGGAGATATCTTTGCCTTATTCCTCTAAAATTATAATCCATTATTGTTTCAGATATATGGAGAAATTGATTTAGATTATGGAGAAATTGAATTATAGATAATTTAAAAACTTTAAATACTCATTCATGGAGCAATAATGTCTTTCTTCATGGAGACATAGAGGAGAAAATTTACATGGAGCAACCTTATGGGTTAGTTTGTGAATTGCGCCAATCTCTCTATCTCTCTATGATCTTAAACAATCACCAAATGCTTCGTATAGAAAATTCAGCCATTTTACAGCACTTTGGGTTTAGTGAAATAGATTATTTAGTCTTTTATTGTCCAACTTCTATGGAGTAATGTGTGTACTTAATCGTGTACGTTGATGATATAGTCATTCCAGGGAATGATGCTACTAAAACTTTTAAGCTAGAGAAACATTTATGCAATCACTTTTGGACCAAAGATCTTAGATGTCTCAAATACTTCTTCAGTATTGAAGTAATTTGATCAAAGGAAAGTATTGTGATTTCTCAACAAAAATTGATTGTAGAATAGATTGAGCTCTTCTCATACCCAAAAGAATATAAAAGACTCGTTGGGAAATTTATTCTTGTCACTATTAGTTGACCTAACTTGTCTTTTGCATTGTATTAAATACTAAATTTATGTAGGATCTTCATCTAGATCAGTGGATCGTTGTCATTCACATCCTCATATACCTCAAAAAGGATCCATGACAAGGATATTTAAGGGAAATAATCAAATGACTAGTTATTGTAATGCTGATTGGTTAGGATCTCCAATAGATAAGCAATCCACTAGTGGATATTGTGTTTTCACTGGAGGAAGTATTGTTTCTTGGAAAAACAAGAAACAAAATGTGGATGCTCGATCTACTGATGAAGCTAAGTATAAGGC